TAATAAAATTAAAATTTAATATAAATACTGCGAAATAAATAAGATTTTTAAATAAATAATAATATTTAAAAATGTTATAAGAATCAAATTCTCTCTCTCTCTCTCCATTCATCCACTTATACTGTTTTTTTTAATTAATTATAGATAAGATAATTTAGAATAAAACATTTCCAATCAAATAATCTATGATATAAACTACTACCATCATCAAAACAGTTACTCTAGTTTATCAAAATCCTGGTAAAATGTGTTCTACTTTCCATAACTTGAGATATATAAAGCCCATGATGAACATAAAATTATTACAATAATAAATTTAGAAAATATAAAATTAATTATTAAAAAATCAACAATGTTGAGAATTACCCTGATTGTATTATTGGCTGTTCACTGCTCTTACAGCGTACCCGTGAAGAGCTCAGTTACCCAATTCTTAGGCTCGATCGCAAACGACCCTGTTACTGATCTCCAAAATGACCCATGCGCCAAAAAATCCGACGCCGATGCCTCCCAATGTCTCTACCAAAAACTGCCCGACATCGACCCTGATAACACTCATCCAGAGTACCGGTGCTGTATCTCATGGGTTGCCAACGACTGTCTGGCCTCATCTGGCAAGGTCAGTTTTTGGTTTTATTTTTTTAAAATCATTTGGTCATTACTTACTTATAACTATTTTTATATTTATAACTACAAAGGTCGATTGCACAGCTGCTGAGTTTACCACGCTGAGAAAGATTCTGGATGAGATTATTGCCCTTGGTGATGCCGGTGCCTGCAAAGTGTTCCCGTATCACACCGGTATTAATACTTGTGCCAAATAAATGAAATGTTTAATTAATTTAAAAATAAAACTTTTACTTTATAATTAAAACTATTTTCAATTATAAACCCGATGATTACTGTTATTTACTAATTTAAATAGTTTTACTTTTAATGAATTGTTTAAGATAATTTTAAAATTTAATAAATATAAGATATAATTATTATCAATAATGGCTGCCATATGTCAAGTTTACATAAAATGTTATCACAGCTTTACCAATTGTTTAACATGGGGTTTAGTTTACATAAAAAATAAAATATTATAATAGTTTATTACAGTTTATAATTAGTGTATAATTGCAAATCATAAAAGTAAATTAACTAACCTTTGTGACTTAATAAACTATAATCATCAAAATAATCCAACTTATCAAAATTATGGAAAAATGTGGTTAAGTTATCATACCATGGTATAAAACATCTGGAAATAAATCACTGTATATAAGGTCCACAAAAAATAAAATTATTACAATAATGAATTTGACCAATAATTAAACTACCTTAACTGAAAACATAAAATAACAATGTTGCTTGTTACATTTACTTTATTATTGGTGGTACAGTGCGCCTACAGCGTACCGGTGCAGAGCTCAGTCATAAAGTTATTTGGCTCAATTACAAACGACCCTGCTACCGATTTACAAAATGATCCATGCTACATTAAATCTTATAACGACACGTTAAAAATATTTGACCAAAGAATATCGAGAATTGATCAAGATACCACAACAACCAAGGGTGTGTGTTGCATAGGTTGGCTGGCCTATGATTGTGTAGCTTTGGCCGGCAAGGTCAGTTTTTAATTTTTGTTAAATTATTATTAATTTATTAATTTGATCATAAAAAATCATAATAACCCAATAGCAATATACGCTTTTAATTAATCTATATTAATATTATAAATGTATTTATTGTACATTTATTTTTAATAAACAGGCCGACTGTACTTCGACTGAATTTGCAACGTTGCAAAATATCCTGGCTAAGATCATCGCCCTTGGCGATGCCCAAGATTGTAAAGACTACCCTTACCATACTTACATTCAAACATGTGCAATTATATAAATTAAATGTTAGTTTAATTAACTAGAACTGATTCAATGGATAATACTTTATAAATTTAATTAAATTGATCGAAATTTACTATTATCAATAAAAATAACAATTATATAGACTCTACAGTATATTATAGAGTAAAAGTTTATTGAGTTATATTAATTTTATAATTATATAACTTTTACCAAAATTGTCTATTATTGTAAGTTAATATTTATTAGTCTTAAATTGTCAATTAATTTGATTTTTAAGCTCATGACTAAATTCCATTGTGTTTTACAAAATTATAGTTAAAATTGTATAATAAAACCAATTTTATTTAAATAGTTTAATTTAGAATTTATTAATAAACAATATTTTATCATGTTTATTTTAAAAATAATTTAATTAATTATTTTATTTTGCAAATTTTTTTTGCCAATCTAACTTTTATGAGTAATACTTCGTTAGGTAATGTTTGACTTTAAAAATAATAGTTTTATTATAACTTATAATAATTAATTTGTTGGTTATTATTTTTAAACAAAATCAAATAACATTTATAATTAAAAACTGTAACAAAATATTGGTATCAGTAATATGTGAAATAAAACAGTTAGAGCAGCGAATAGCAGAGCGTGCATATCTGGGCATTCGCGGGCAGAGCTATAATGTATTTCCTATGAGAGCATAGAGGCAAAGTATACCTTATAAGTCGTCCTTGACAGACCCTGAGTTAGAGTAATATTTAATAATAATTATTTCCTAAGTATATTACCAATGAATATCATTCATAAGCATTTAACATTGATCTTGACACTCAATTAAAATTTAGGAAATAATTTTTTATTAATATAAATTTACTACATAAAGTATCATGTCATATAATTAATGTGTGTTTCTTTTTAATGCTGTTAAAAAATTATAATTGTAGAAATAAACTAATATGTTGTGAATATATAATATAAAAACACTCCAGCATGTTTGTGCTGATTGTCACTCTATTATAAATAATTTATTTATAATTTCAATAATTATGTAAACTATATATTTAAAATATTGTTTCCATTTGAAAATCCGTAAATTTGATCGAGGTAACTTTTCTATAAGAAATAATCAATGTATTTAAAAGAAATTTTGTGGGATAAATAAGTATTTATTAGTGATTAATTTTCTGTAATGATATAATTTTTATATCTATTGGTTAAGAAATGGTGGACATCTAAAGACAATGATGTCTAAAGATGTTTTGGCACTTTTAGTGAATCAATGCAAAGTT